GATTGGCATATATAGCTTGATCTTGGTAGCCCTTTTTGTTCTTGGAATACTTTTATTCCTGTGCATCATGTTAAAGCTTCTCTTAACAACATCAGCACGTTGGCACCCAAAGTACATGACTTAAAACTGAAAATGGACCCCAAGTCAGAGTTATTAATTTAACAGACTGGCAAGCCAAGGATGAGTAAGATTCTGCACAGAGCATTACCAACCTAAGACATAAGTGCATTGCATTTGATAATGCATATCCCACTACAGATAAGGAAGTCATTCTTGTCAGCGGGACCTAAAAAACCTTGGACTTGTTTATGAAATTAAAAAGGCAGAGATGTGGAAAGCTTTTGGGGCTGCTTGGCAGGGATCTGATATTTGCCGAGAACAAGTAAAGGGACTTCAGGTAAGAATCCGACATTAGGCTAAAACAAAGAAGTAATTTCAGTCAGAAATCTAAATCTTAGGTTAAAACAAAGAAGTAGGCTTCAGGTAGGAAACTGACTTTGGGCTAGGACAGACAAGTAGGCTTAGATATTTTGGTCATCCCAATAAGCTCTTAGAAACCATGATCACACTTGTTCACAGAACTTTGTTTATTGCCTTGCTTGTTCTTTGACAATTTGTGTTTACTTTCTTGCTTGTTCCTTGACTATTTGCATCTATTGTATTGCTAGTTCTTCAACCTAGAACTGACCTTAATACTTGCATGCAATTAAATAGTATAAAAGCAAAAAGGAGGAAGGGGGATGAGATAGGGTTTTTTTAGTGGGGGAATAGGGAAAAAGGATGACATCTGAAATGTAACTAAATAAAATATCCAATAAAAATTGTCTAGATAAATAAAAGAAAAAAGAAAAGAAAATATCATCCTGAGCCAGGGAACCCAATCACAAATGAACATGATATGCACTCACTGATAAATGAATATTAGCCCAAATCTCAGAACACCCAAAATATAGTTCAGAGACCATATGAAGCTGAAGAAGAAGAAAGACCAAAGTGTGAATGCCTCAGTTTTTCTTAGAAGGGGGAATAAAATACTCACAGGAGGTAGAGGGAGGGAAGGACTTGGGAGCAAGGAAGGAGGAAGAGGCAAAAAAAAACGGGGAAAAGGATCAGGTATGGGAGGAAATGGGGATGATATATGGAGAGTCAAGAAGTTGAACAGAGGTGGGTAGCAATGGGTGATGGAGAACTGAAAATAGCCACCAGAAAATCCCAGATGCCAAAAAAGCAAGTGGCTCCCACGACCCAAAGGGGATGAGATTAGCTGAAATGCCCCACAAAGGGGAGGGAGATCGTATAGAGGCCACATCCAGAAGTTAGGCAAGGTCCCTGGTTGAGGGATGGGGCACCAACTCATCTCCAAATATTTGACTCAGAATTGCTCCTGTCTAAAAGAAATACAGGGACAAAGTATGGAGCCGAGACTGAAGGACAAGCCATTCAGAGGCTGCCCTACCTGGGTATTCATCCCATATAAAGAGACGAAACCTAGACACCATTGCAGATGCCGAGAAGTCCTTGCTGACAGGAGCCTGACAAAGTTGTCTCCTGAGAAGCATTGCCAGAGCCTCACAAATACAGATATGGATGCTTGCAGCCAACCACTGGACTGAGCACTGAGACACCTATGGAGGACTTAGGGGAAGGATTGAGGGAACTGAAGGGGTTTGCAACAAACCAACCCTCCCCCAGAGCTCCCAGAGACTAAACCACCAACCAAAGAATACACATGTTGACTCATGACCCCAGCTCCATATGTAGCAGAGGATGGCCTTATCTGGCAGCAATGGGAGGGGAGGCCTTTGATCCTGTGAGTGTTTGTTGCCCCAGTGTAGGGGAATGCTAGGCTGGTGAGGAGGGAATGGGTGGGTGAGGGAGAACTGTCACAGAAGCAGGGGGAGGGGTGATGGAATAGAGGGTTTATGGAGGGGAAATAAGGAAAGGGGATAACATTTGAAAAGTAAATAAATAAAATATCCAATAAAAAAGAGAACTCAAGAAGCTAACCACCAAAACACCAAACAACCCAATCAAAAAATGGAGTATACAACAAAATAGAGAATTCACAACAAAGGAATCTTGAATGGCTGAGAAGCACTTAAAGAATGTTCAAAGCCCTTAGTGATCAGGGAAATACAAATCAAAATGTCTCTGAGATTCCACTATACACCAATCTGAATGGCTAAGAACAAAACCTCACATGACACCAGATATTGATGAGGATGTGGAGAAAGAGGAACACTGCTACATTGCCTGTGGGATTGCAAACTGGTACAACCACTCTGGTGTTGGGAGCCGACTCTTAGCCGAAAGTGGCTATCATCCTTACAGCCATGTCAAGCCGTATACCCTGACAAGAGACTTGTTTTCAACAGCCTGCAATAGCTGACTGCACTCTGATAAACATCTTGTTACACGGTTTAGTGCCCCCAGCTGCAAGGTACACCTGGTATCCATGGCTACAAGACACGTGACTTAGTGCCTTCAGTTGAGCTTGTCCACGAGGGCAAGTCACGTGGTAAAGGTTATAAATACCCAGGATTTCCTTTCTATGTGTGTGAGGAGAATATAGAAGAAGTGAGTAGAATATAGAAGAAGAAAGGAGAATAAAGAAGAGACTTGAAGAGACTCGACCAGACTCTGTCTCGTATCTATCTTTTGTGTCTCTCACCCCTTTTTCACCCTTCCTCTGTCCCCACTCTCTCTCTTGCTAGACCCTGACCTGCAGACGAAGCAGGAGAACCAGCCGGCCTTTACAAAGTAGCAGAACAGGCCGTTACAAAAGAAACGGCCATTACACTCTGGAAATCAATCTGGAGGTTCCTCAGAAAATGGAAAATACATCTTCCTGAAAATCCAGCTATACCAGTAGTGAGCATATACCCAAAAGATGCCCTAGCATGTCACAGGGGCATATGTTCTACTATGCTTATATTGGCCTTGTTTATAATAGTCAGAATCTGGTAACAACCCAGATGTCTCAGAACGGAAGAATGGTTACAGAAAAAAATATGGTTCATTTAAACGATGGAATACTACTCAGCTATTTAAAATGAGGACATGCTGAGTTTTGCAGGCAAATGGGTAGAACTAGAAAATATCAGCCTGAGTGAGGTAACTCAGACTCAAAAGGACATGCATGGTATGTACTAACTAGTAAGTGGATATTAGCCAAAAAAAAGTAAAGAATACCCAGGATACAGTCCACAGAACTCAAAAAATTAGCAAGCTGAAGGACCCAAGTGAGGACATTTCAATCCAACTTGGGAGGGAGATGAAATCAATCACAAGAAGGGGGAAGGAGGGAGGGAGGGACTTGGGTGGGAAAGGGTACAGGGAGAGGAAAAGAGGAACATGATCAGTTATAGGGTAGGGGAAAATGACTGAAGCCCTGAAGGCCAGCAAAAAGAATAAAAACAGGCGACCTCGGAAGTAAGGAGGTGGGGGACCCTCCAGAATGTACCAGAGACCTGGGAGGTGAGAGACTTTCAATACTAAAAGGGAGAAACCTTAGACAAAATGCCCTGCAGTAGGGAGTGGGAACTTGTAGTGTCCACCTCCAGTAGAAAGGCAGGGCATCAAGTGAGAGATGGGATTGCCAGCCCACAGTCAAAACTCTGACCAATAATTAATCCTGTCTGAAAGAACTGCAGGGAACAAAATGGAGAGTAGCCAGCGGAAAAGGAGGTCCAACGACAAACCCAAAATGGGATCTAGCTCAAGGGGAGGCCCCAAGGCCTGAAACTGTTACTGAAGCTTTGAAGTGCTCAAAAAATGGGACCTAACATGACTGACCTCCAAAAGACCCAACAAGCAGCTGAGTCAGACGCATATATTTATACCCAACCAATGGACAGAAGCTGCTGAGCATTGTGGTTGAATTAGGGAAAAGCTGGAAGAAGCTGAGGAGGAGGGCAACCCTGTAGGAAGACCAGCAGTCTCAATTAACCTGGACCCCCAAGACATCTCAGTCACTGGACCCCCAAACAGGCAGCATGTGCCAGCTGATATGAGGCCCCAAACACACATACAGCAAGGACTGCCAGGTCTGGGTTCAGTCAGAGATCCACCTAACCCTCAAGAGACTGGAGACCCCAGGGATTGGGGAGGTCTATGGGGTGGAGGTGGGGGTAGGGAACTTCCTAGTGGAGACAGGGGTAGGAGGTATGGGATACGGAACAGTCAGAGAGTGGACTGGGATTGGGATGAAATCTGGAGGTTAAAAAACAATAAAGAGATTAAATAAAAGTTTAAAGAAAAAAAAGTAAAAAAGAAGAAACCAAGGTGATCAAAATGTCACAGAGAATAGAAGCATGTATTACTTATATGCGTAGTCATCTATGGCAGGTCCTTTAGTCTCGTATGTTATTTATTTATCTTAAATTATTCCATGAACATTGCATACTCAAACGTATAGACTGTTAGTTTCATACAGTTTATCAGCATTCACTGAGTTGAAAGGTAGCTGGGTCTGAGGGATGAAATGACATTTATATTTGTGCATGCTTATATGCTTGTGGTAAACCATAAGATATATCAAGAGATGATGGATAGATGATAGATAGATGATAGATGATGTAAATAGATAAATAGATAAAAAGATGATAGATACATAGATAGATGATAGATAGATAGATAGATAGATAGATAGATTGATCTACATATTGATATATATATCACAGCAGACAGAATACCAATTAAACCAATAAATTTCTTGTGGCTCAGCTTGAGCATAAGTAAATTTTATGAACTAGAGAGCCTCTAGGAACATCTGAATCTACAGTACAAATGGATTAACAAAATGTTCCCATTCAAAAATACTAATCACAATTAAAATAACCCCAAATATCAGTATATATAGAAGATACGCTCCCCAATCAAAGGTAGTAACTGCCATTAAACAAACCAAATTTATCCTGTCCTCCATTGCTTCTTTGCCTCCCTAAGCCCAGTCCACTAACAAAGAACTCTCCTAAAGAACACTGAGAGGTTATACTCACTCAGTTCCTACATCATGGGTGGACTCAGGAAGAGGCTGATTCTTAGTTTCAGGAAGGAGAAACACAGTAAGTCCATTGAGGATGGAGAAGCCTCCATAGAAGATCCAGGACAAGCTGGTAGAGTATGTCGCTAGCATCATAAACAGGGGGGCCATGAATAATCCACTGTTACCAAACATTCCAATGACTCCTATACCTGTCGCCCTTGGAACAAGAATACAATGCACAAAAAAAATCTGATAAAAATGCACACTTGAAACTTGTGATTTAGTATCATACAGACCTTTTTAAAAATCTTAAAACCTGTTACTTGTCAGAAACCAGTGCAACTAAATTTAAGAATCTTGATAACTTATTCTTCCTTCTCAAATTTGTTTCATTTTGTAATATTTTTAGTCAGATTCAGACTACAAAGACACTTCCCTATTCAATACAATGAAACAGAAAGAGTAATACTGTATAAATTGCCTTATATATAACTTCTGTATTTTAGCTTTATATGTGTGTATACACATGTGAGTTTTGGGTATGGGGCTCTAAAATGTGGAAGGAGATATGAAAAGAGGTAGAATCCATCTCAAGATGGATAAGACTTTAAATAGAAATGTGAAATGAAAATAAAGGGGTTTACTGAGCAGTAGAAGTAGACCAGCAGAAGTGTGGATCAGGGACCAGCAGAGTTGAATCAACAGAAAGAGCATCTCTGTGATAATGTTATAAAGCAACTAATGCCAGTTTAAAGAATTGTGTCTTCATCTACAAAACCTTAAAAAATTAGTATGAGAGGATTCAATTGTAAAGAAGAATGATGTAAGTAGAAATAATGAGATGATCAAAGAAAATAATGAAAATGAATCGGTAAAAAGATATTGCATACTTCTATGAAATTCCCTTAAGTAAATATAATGAATGTAAAGAAATATAGAGTATGCTGTTGCTTATGAGACACACCTTTTTAGTTGTTCCATATATTTACATGAAATGCTAAATAGTAGTGCTTAATAGACTTAACTGTCCCAAAACAAAGTAAAATTCCAGAATACTAAAGTTATAAACATTCTTTTTACAACGTATTGGTTAGATAACTACACAGTCTTTATTTTTTCTTCTTTTAGTTGTACAGAATGAGCAGAGAAGTCTATTTTGTGACTGATTTGAAACTTGTACCTTAATGTGGTCAGGAGTAGCTCATTTGTATGAAGACGGCTAACACTAAGGGAAAGAGGAGAAAGTGCTCCTGCCAATGTGGCCATAATAATTCGCAGGGTCTGCATTTCTAGAGAGAGGAAGAACAAGGGCAGTGGTTAGGTTGGCTTGGCTGTTGTAATTTGTAGTTCCAAATTCCTAACAAATATACTATCATCAAAGGTGTGTGCATGCGTAAAATACAGAGAGGAAAACTAGCACAGTGAAAAGAAATCCTACAATGGCTAGTATGTTGAGAAAAGTAAACAATTTATTCATGATGGTTTGTAGAGAATCAAAGCTTTTGAACATTTGTGTTCATTCCTTCATGTTTCAGAGAGTGGTAGGTCCCAGGGGAAATTCATTTTCATATTTCCTCTTCAGCATCTCAAAGGCCCTTCATTCAGAATATGAGACTGTCATTGGGGAAAACAGGAAAGAATCTAATCTCTTAAAGAATCATAGGCCATTGAAATCCATAGTAAAGATGGAATAAAACAAAAGAGTTTCATATAAACCTGGAGGCCTCTACTGCTGAGGTGGCATATTCCTCAGGAATAAAGAATAAGGATTTCTTCTAGGACAATGTCAGGCTCTGAACACCTTTCAAAGACAGTTTCTTAAAACTGTTTTCCAACTTTATTTTAAAATCTCATGAAAACTTCAAACACTGGAATGTTCTCTGAGTGGTGTGGTTGTTTGAATAAGAGTGCCCTCCATAGACTCATATACTGGAATGCTTAGTACCAAGGAGTAGAGCTTCTTGAAATGATTAAAAGGATTATAGGGTGTGTCTTTGGTGGAGGAGCTGTGTCACTGCAGGTGGGAATTGAGGGGTCAGAAGCCCATGACAGGCCTAGTATCTCTCAGCCTTGGATTAGGATGAAGCTCTCACCTACCAATCCATACCACACTTTCCTCCTTCCATGCTTCCTACAAATATGCTTACTACCATGATGATATTGGAATAAACTTCTGCAACTTCAAGCAAGCCCCCAATTAAATGCTTTCTGTCATAAGAGTTGCTTTGGTTGGTCGTGATATTTCTTCACAAAAATAGACACTCGCTAAGACAGATACTGTCACCAGGTACTTGGTTAACCATGTTTGTCACACGAATGACCAAATTGTTTATTAAAAACAATACTGAAAATATTGAGTCTTGGACAACAAGTGGCTGGATGATTTAAGTGAGGCTTAGTGAGACATAGTAGTAAAAGAATGGAGAACAGTGCTAAGGCTTATTTGAATGGTGGCAGCCCAGATCAAGTTTCAGAGGAGAAAAATTCTAGTAACTGGCTAAAGACCATTATTGTGATTTGGAAGCAAAGAATGTTGCTGCATTTTGTTCCTGTCAGGAAAAAAGTATACTTCAGACTAAATAATTTGGGATTAATTAACTCTGACAGAGAAGATTACAAGACAGCCTAATACTGATTGTGTCACGTGGTTATTAGTGGTCACTATTATATAGATTTACATGCAAGGGAGAAAACAGAGAAATGAAAACAATGCAAAATATTTAGTCTGAAGAGAAAATGAGTGCCAGTAACTACAATAGAGCTAAGACAAGTTCTTAAGAAGATAAAAAATTAAGGAACAGTCTAATGCTTAATGGAATAAATGAAGTGATAACCTCGGGTTAAGAACTAAACTAGCTATGCTTCCAACTTTTCAAAATTAACTAAAGAAAACCTTAAGGTGTAAAAGAGTCCATCACCAAAAGAAAGCTGGTGCAAATATAATTGAATAAGAGAGCTAAGCTCCATTCCCATCAAGCAGAAGAACGTGATAGGTTTAGCCAATTAGATCTGGAATAAAAGTCAAGGGTTTAAAACTGGGGTGGTGAAATATACCTCCATGGCTGAGGAAATCATCTGATTCCAAGTATGTGTCAAGTGGTTCCCTGATGGAGACCATTGTCTGAAGCTGTGACAGTGAACTCTAGATTTCATTTGAGACCTCAAGATGTTGAAGATGCCAGAATCATACTTGCTAAGGGGAACTGCAGAGCAGGACTAGAACCAATCCAAGCCATAGAAATGGGTTACAGCAAGCAAGGATAAGACATAGAAATGCAGAGTTTGGAGTTTGCCCTGCAGGTTTTCATTTGCTTTGGGACAGTAGTTCCTCATTATGCTCTATTTCTTCCCTTTTGAAATAGTATTCTCTTTTGAAATCAATATTTTTTGCCTGTATGTTGGATATGATCTGCTTTTTTTTTGAATTTACAAAAGGTTAGAGTTAGGAGATTGCTGTGAGACTCAGAAGAGACTCAAACTTTGGAGTTTTAAACAGTGTTTTGACAGCAATAGACTGTGGTGACATTTGAAGTTGGACTGAATACCTATGGGGTCCAGAGATTGGCAGTGGTCGTTTGAATTAGAACAGCCCCTCAAAAACTCATAGTTTTGAATGCTTAGTCACCTGGGCAAGTGCCACTGTTGGAAAAGAATAGGTTTATTGGAGTAATTATATCATATATTAGAACTTGAGGTGTCAAAAGCTTATTCCAGGCCAGTCTCTCTCTTGTCTATGAATCAGGTTTTAGATATTAGCTCCTTTACCAGGTCTCTGCTTTCCTGTGCCCATGCTCCTTGTTATGATGCTAGTGAACTAAATCACTGAAACATTAAGCAAACCTCCATTTAAGTGCTTTCTTTTAGGAGACTTTCCATTAATCATGGTATCTCTTCACAGAAATAGAACAGTAAGACAAAGACAGAGAGAAACTGAGAGCTGAAGGGTTATAAAACCCATCATCATGGAATTTTAAAAAAAAATACTACAACCCTGCATTTTAGCAAAGCTAGTTGACCACATGGGTATCATTACTTATTACATGTATGTACTTAACTAAATGAACTCAGTCTTGAGATTTGTAATTTGCAGGCTATTTCTTCTTTGCACATCTCCTATTTTCCAACACAACTAAAAATTATTTTCTTGTTTAACAACCCAACTGGCATAGCACATACAGTTGGTCAGAAATTTTTGTATTATTTAGGGGAGAATTATAAGTCCTAAAACATATGTGGCTAGAATAAAAAAAATACAATGACCAAAAATGAATAATCTATAGTGGGAATAAATCACATCAGTTCTAGACACTTTTAACTGTAATAAACATTCTTTACTGAATTTTGACTTCTTTCTTTATACAGCTTCTTAATGGAGTATGCGCCCTAAAATCCCAGCATGGTCATCAGAAATTGTTTCATTAGTGCTCTAATCTATTGTAGGTAAGGGATGATAAATCCTGAGGAAATGGGAGAACATATTTCTTTTTGCTTACCCTGTACTCTTTCCTTACCTTGAGGTACAAATATGGCAATCAGAATAAAGGATCCCCTCAAGAACATGAAAGCCAGCTGAGTTATTCTACGGCCCATGCGATTGAGTAGGAAATGTCCAACAACACTGAACAGTATGGACACTGCACTAATGAGAAACTGCAACAGGAAAACATTAGTACTCAGGTGTTGGAGGTGAATTGACAGGCCAAAAATTGATAGCGTAAATAAAAATCTGTAGTAAAAAAAAAGAAAAACAGCATATTAAAGTTTGGAATTGGTATTCAGCAGATGTTAATATTATTGGACAAGAAACCAAGTTCTAGTAGTTTCACTATGAAGGCATTTTGGCTTTTTGGATATTTTACTTCTAGGACATAATTTCATAGCCACCAAAAATCACTGTGTGATGTGAGAGCATATAATTACTCTTGAAGTATTGGAAAGAGTTAGTGGGTTTCTGGTGTACATGGTGGGTCTTTCCATACATTCATATGTGTGAAGTTCCATCTTTACACCTATACATGTTCTTGAATTGAATTTTCTTATGTGTATTGGATTAGAATTTTTTATTGGAAATTTTCTTTATGTACATTTCAAATATTATCCCCTTAAACAGTTTCCCCTCCACAAACTGTCTATACCATCCCCCCTCACCCTGCATCTATGAGCTTGCTCTCCTACCTACACACCCACTCCCACCTCCCTGCCCTGGCATTCCCCTAAAATGGGCATTGAGTGGTCACAGGACCTTGGGCCTCTACTCCCATTGATGTCCAACAAGGACATCCTCTGCTACATATGCGGCGGGAGCCATGAGTCCCTCTACATGTACACTTTGGTGGGTGGTTTAATCCCTGGGAGCTCTGGGGGGGGGGGCTGGTTTGTTGATATCATGGTTCTTCCTATAAGGTTACAAACCCCTTCAACTACTTCAGTCTTTTTTCTATCTCCTCCATTAGGGACCCCTTGCTCAATCCAATGGTTTGCCTGCTTGTATTTTTCAGGCTCTGGCAGAGCCTCTCAGGAGAGAGTATGTGTATTCTGAGCTTTTGGGCTAATATACACTTATCAGTGAGTGCATACCATGTGTGTTATTTTTGTGATTGGGTTACCACAGTCACAATGATATTTTCTAGTTCCATCCATTTGCCTAAGAATTTCATGAATTCATTGTTTTTAATAGCTGAGTAATACTCCATTGTGTAAATGTACCATGTTTTCGTTATCCATTCCTCTATGGAAGGACATCTGGGTTGTGTCCAGGTTCCAGCTACTATAAAAAAGGCTTATGTGAACAGAGTCGAGCATATGTCATGGTTATAAGTTGGAGCATCTTTTGGGTGTATACCCAGGAGTGATATAGCTGAGTTCTAAAAATTGGATATGTCCAGTTTTCTGAGGAACAGCCAGACTGATTTTAAGAGTGGTTATACCAGTATGCAATCCCACCAACAATGGAGGAGTGTTCCTCTTTCTCCACATCCACCCCAGAATCTGTTGTCACATGAGTTTTAGATCTAAGACATTCTGACTGGTGTGAGGTGGAATCTCAGGGTTGCTTTTATTTGCATTTCTATGATGACTATGGATGTTGAACATTTCTTTAGGTGCTTCTCAGCCTTTTCATATTCTACATTTGAGAATTCCTTGTTAAGCTCTGTACCCCACTTTTAAATAGGGTTATTTGATTCTCTGGAGTTTAATTTCTTCAGTTCTTTGTATACCTTGGATATTAACCCTCTATCAGATGTGGGATCGGTAAAGATCTTTTCCCAACCTGTCAGTTGCCATTTTGTCCTATTGACAGTGTTCTTTGTCTTACAGAAGCTTTGCAAGTTTATCAGGTGCCATTTGTTGATTGTTGATCTTACAGCATAAGCTTCTGGTATTCTATGCAGGAAATTTTCCCTGTGTTTATGTGCTCGAGACTCTTCTCTCCTTTCTCTTCTATTTATTTCAGTGTATCTGGTTTTATGTGGAGATCCTTGATCCACTTGGATTTGAGCTTTGTACAAGGAGATGAGAATGGATGGCCTTGTCAGGCATAGGTGGGAAAAGAGGTCCTTGATCATGTGAAGGCTGGGTGCCCAAGTATGGGAAAATTAGAGGGCAGGGAGGTAGGTGTAGGTGGGTGGGTGGAGGCATACACTCATAGAAGCAGGAGGAGGTTGGATGGGAAAGGTGATTTCTAGCAAGAATGGGGAAAGGGGATAACATCTCAAATATAAATAAATAAAATATCTAATAAAAAGTTTTTAAAATTTTTAAAAGTGGATCAATTTGCATTCTTCTAAATCCTGACCACCAGGTGATCTAGCACCATTTTTTTAAATGCTGTCTTTTTTCCATTGGATGGTTTTAGCTCCTTTGTCAAAGATTAAATGACCATAGGTGTGTGAGTTCATTTCTGGGTCTTCAATTCTATTCCATTGATCTGCCTGTCTGTCTCTGTACCAATACCATACAGTTTTTATCACTATTGCTCTGTAGTACAGCTTGAGGTAAGGGATGGTGATTCCCACAGAAATTCTTTTATTATTGAAAACAGATTTTGCTAACCTGGGTTTTTTGTTATTCTTGAATTGTCAAGTTGCTCTTTCTAACTCTGTGAAGAAATGAGTTGGAATTTTGATGGGAATTGAATCTGTAGATTGCTTTTGGCAAGATGGCTATTTTTACTATGATAATCCTGCCAGCCCATTAGCATGGGAGATCTTTCCATCTTCTGACATGTTCTTTAATTTCTTTCTTTAGGGACTTGAAATTCTTGACATACAGAACTTTCACTTGTTTTGTTAGTCACACCAAGGTATTTTATATTATTTGTGACTTTTGTGAAGGCTGTCATTTCCCTAATTTCTTTCTTAGCCTGTTTATCCTTTGAGTAGAGGAAGGATATTGATTTCTTTCAGTTAATTTTATGCCCAGCCACTTTGCTGAAGTTGTTTACCAGATTTAGGAGTTCTTTGGGGGAACTTTTGTCATCACTTTATCTTCTGTAAATAGTGATATTTTGACTTCTTCCTTTCCAATATGTATCCATTTGACCTACTTTTGTTGTCTAATTCCTCTGGCTAGGACTTCGAGTACTATATTGACTAAATAGGGAGAGAGTAGGCAATCTTATCTAGTCCCTGATTTTAGTGAGATTGCTTCAAGTTTCTGTCCATCTACTTTGATGTTGACTACTGGTTGGCTGTATATTGATTTTACTATGTTTAGGTATGGGCATTGAATTCCTGATCTTTCCAAGCCTTTTACCCTGAAGGGGTGTTGAATTTTGTCAAATGCTTTCTCATCATCTAATGAGATGATCATGTGGGGTTTTTTTCTTTAAGTTTGTTTATATAGTGGATTACATTTATGCATTTCTATATATTGAATCATCCTGAATCCCTGGGATGAAGGATACTTAATCATGATGGATGATCGTTTTGATGTATTCTTAGATTCGGTTGGTGAGAATTTCATGGACTATTTTTTTGTCCATATTCATAACTGAAATTATTCTGGTTTTCTTTCTTTGTTGGGTCTTTGTGAGGTTTACCTATGAGCATAATTGTGCCATCATAAAACAAATTGAGTAGTGAGACTTCTGTTTCTATTTTCTAGAATAGTTTGAAGAATATTGGTCTTCCTTTACAGTCCAATAGAATTCTGCACTAAAACCATGTGGTCCTGGGCTTTTTTTGGTGGGGAGACTTATAATGAATGCTTCTATCTCTTTAGGGGTTATAGAACTGCTTAGATGGTTTAACTAATTTGACTTTCGTACCTGGTATCTGTCTAGAAAACTGTCCATTTCATTCATAGTTTCCAGTTTTGTTGAGTATAGGCTTTTATTGTATAATCTGATGATTTTTTTTAATTTCCCCAGTTTCTCTTGTTAGGTTTCCTTTTTCATTTATGATTTTGTTAATTTGGATACTGTCTCTGTTACCACTGGTTAGTTTGGCTATCTATCTTGTTGATTTTTTAAAAGAATCAGCTTCTAGTTTTGTTGATCCTTTGTACAGTTCTTTGTGTTTCTACATGGTTGATTTCAGCCCTGAGTTTGATTATTTCCTGCCATATACTCCTCTTGGGAGTATTTGCTTCTATTTGTTCTAGAACTTTCAGGTGTGCTGTCAAGTTGTTAATGTATGCTCTCTCCAATTTCTTTTTGTAGGTACTTAGAGTTATGAGTTTTCCTCTTAGCACTGTTTTCATTGTATCCCATAGGTTTTGGTGTGTTGTGCCTTCATTTTCATTAAATGCTACAAAGTCTTTAATTTATTTCTTTTCTTCCTTGACCAAGTTATCATTGAGTAGAGCATGGTTTACCTTCCATGAGTTTGTGGGCTTTTCGTTGTTTTTGTTGTTTTTTGAAGGCTAGTATTAATCCATGGTGATCTGATAGGACGCATGGGGTTATTTCAATCTTTTAGTATCTGCTGAGGCCTGTTTTGTGACCAATTATTTGGTCAATTTTGGAGAAGGTACCATGAGGTACAGAAGAAGGTATATTCTTTTATTGTGGGATGTAACGTTCTATAGATATCGGTTAAATCCTTTAAGTTCATAACTTCTGTTAGTTTCACTATGTTTCTGTTTAGTTTCTATTTCCATAATCTGTCCACTGCTGAGAGTTGAGTGTTGAAATCTCCCACTATTAGTGTGTGAGGTGCAATGTGTGCTTTGAGATTTAGTAATGTTTCTTTTATGAATGTGAATGCCCTTTCATTTGGAGCATAGATGTTGGGAATTTGAGAGTTATCTTGGAAGATTTTTCTTTTGACATGCATGAAGTGTCCTTCCTAAACTTTTTTGATAACTTTTGGTTGAAAGTCGATTTTATTCAATATTTGAACGACTTCTGTAGAGTGTTTCTTGGAACCCTTTCTAGGAAACTAGTTTTCCGACCCAATACTCTGAGGTAGTATCTATCTTTGTCACTGAGGTGCTTTTCCCATAGGCAGCAAAATGCTGGGTCCTGTTTACATATCTAGTCTGTTAGTCTACATAATTTTATTGGGTAATTGAGTTCACGGCTGTTAAGAGATATTTTCAAAAGTGATTGTTGCTTCCTGTTATTTTTGTTGTTAGAGATGGAATTATGTTTATTTGGCTATCTTATTTTGAGGTTGTTGAAAGAAGATTCCATTCTTGCTTGTTCTAGGTGGTAGTTTCCCTCCTTGTGTTGAAGTTTTCCATCTCTTATTCTTTATAGGGCTGGATTTGTGGGAAAACGTTCTGTAAATTTGGTTTTGTCATAGTATATCTTGGTTTCTCCATCTATAGTAATGGAAAAAGTTTTGCTGGGTATAGTATCCTGTGCTGGCAATTGTGTTCTCTTAGGGTCTGTATAACATCTACCCAGGATTTTCTGGCTTTTATAATCTCTGGTGAGAAGTCTGGTGTAATTCCAATAGGTCTGCCTTTATATGTAACTTGACATTTTTCCCTTGCTGTATTTAATATTCTTTCTTTGTTTTGTGCATTTGGTGTTATGATTATTATGTGATAGAAAAAAATTTTTCTGTTCCAGTCTAATCGGAGTTATGTAGGCTTCTTGGGTATTCATGGGCACCTCTTTATTTAGGTTAGGGAAGTTTTTTTCTATAATTTTGTTAAAGATATTTATTGGCCCTTTAACTTTGAAATCTTCACTCTCTCCTATACCTATTATCCTTAGATTTGATCTTTTCATTGTGTCCTGGATTTCCTGGATGTTTAGGTTAGGAGATTTTTTGTATTTTGCATTTTTTTTTTTACTGCTTTGTCACTGTTTTCTGTGGTATCTTCTGCAACTGAGATTCTCTCTTCTATGTCCTGTATTCTGTTGGTGATGCTTGCATCTATGACTCCTGATCTCTTTCCTAGGTTTTGCATCTCCAGGGTTGTCTCCCTTTGTGATTTCTTTGTTTCTATTTCGATGTTTAGATCCAGGATGGTTTTCTTCAATTACTTCACCAATTTGGTTGTGTTTTCCTGTAATTCTTTAAGGGATTTTTGTGTTTCCTCTTTAAGAGTTTCTAAATGCTTACGTGTGTGCTCATGTATTTCTTTAAAAGAGTTATTTAGGCCCTTCTTAAAGTCCTCTCTCATCATCATATGTGATCAGAATCTTTATATCAGAATCTTGCTTTTTCAGTGTGATGGGGTATCCAGGACTTGCTGTAGTTGGAGAACTTGTTTCTGATGTTACCAAGTAGCCTTGGTTTAGGTTGCTTATGTTCTTGTGCTTGCACCTCCCCAACTGGTTATCTCTAGTGCTATGTGTCCTTGTTGTCTCTGACTGGAGGATGTCTCTCCTGTGATCCTGGTTGTGTCAGAACCTCAGAGTCCAGCTTTCCCTGTCATCCTGTGATTCTGTGATCCTCTGATCCTTGTGATACTTTGATACTGTGATACTGTGATCCTGAGATCATGAGTGTGTCAGAGCTCCTGGGAGTCAAGATTTCTCTGGGTGTTGGTGGTATGGGTCGGGATCCAGCACCCTGTGTTTGCTCTGGGCACAGGTCCAAGCTGGAAGGAACCAGTGTCCCTTGCCTGGCAGGGGTTTGCGTTTCCCTAGTTCCTGTGGGGAGGCTCAGTTATGTTCTATGTTGGCAAAGATGTTGTGGTCTCAACTGTGATCTTGAGTGTGTCAAAGTTCCAGTGCTCCTGGGTGTGTCCAACCTCTTGGAAACGGAGCTTCCTCTGTGATCCTGTGATCCAGTGTTCCTGTGATCCCCTGATCCTGTGATCCTGGGTGTTTCAGAGCACTTGAGAGTCGGGCTCCCTCTGGGTTTTGTAAGAGAGGGTGCAGAGCCAGCACCCCAGGTCTTCCCTGAGTGCAGATTAAAATTGGAAGGAACCTGTGCAACTGGCTGGGTGGGGGTTCCTGTATCCTTGGACCCTGGGTATTCCAGCTACTCCAGATGTTGGGGCAGATACTGTGGCCTCCTCACCTGTGATCCTAGGCATTTTAGAGCACCTGGGAGGCAAGCTTCCTCTGGGTGTTATGGGATTAGGTGCAGAGCCAGCACACAGGGTCAGCTCAGAGCACAGGTTCAGACCGGAAGATATTAGAATTTTTATCATCGTTGAAGTGGAGCCAGAGAAATGGCAAGTAACAATCCATGTTTATACTAATTGGCGTTTTCAATATCAGCCCATGGTGATGAGACTGGATGTATATACTCCTCACTGCACAGTAAGTTCTGTGTGGCTATACTCAAAACTCTTTGACTACTTCTAGCTGCAGAAGTTGTCATATTCTACCCCAAATCTATCAGTGAGAAAATTTGCTTCTACACTATTTCAATACACACATTGAGAGCCTACCTCATAAAGGACAGGATACATATCCGCTTACATAGGATGGGTGTGTGGAACAAGTCTCTTGGAGAAGGTTTTGTCTTTGCTGCCTCGAGTTCCTTCTTCATACTAGTTCTCACAACCTTTAAAAATAAAACAAACACTCTGTTTAGTTGTCACAAAGTGATGAGAAATCTGGGACATTCTGAATACTTGTAGAAGATCAGATGAATAATTATTACTCCTCTGTAATAAAATTATAAACATCAAAGATACACTTACAGACAAAAATTAGAGTGAAATGAAAGCCCAGGAGACAAAAAACACTCAGGGGATTTCTACAGTGAAGAATATTAAACAAGGGATTATAGGTGGCTATTGACCATTAAAAGAGTCCTTGGAGCAGGAGATGAAGTTTAGAAAGGAAAACAACACAAAATCCATTTATTTAAACCATTAAATTTAAATGCTAATGCCACTTATATTGGGCTTCCACTGATTCTGAATGACTGAAAACAGATTCAGGGAAAATAATTCTTTGCAGGGCTCTTTATTTTAGCTCAGAACTCATGCTATTTAAAGGAAAACACAATTCATTGTCTTCATAATGCCTAGAATTTAGTTGAGGATGATATTAAGAGTAATATCCTCTAGTTTCATTTTGGAATTCTATAGTGATATTTTGGAGGGCAATAAGCCTCTAGGTCATCTTCCTGTCAAATAGGTCACTTATAATCTGGCCTTCGATTGCAGTCATGAATGCTGGCCTTGATGATGTGAGAATACTGTGCCACGAATACCTGCCTACACAAATGCTACCATGGTCTGTCCACTATAATTAAACTCTTGAATGCATGACACACACTGAGGTTTTCTTCCTTTAACCTGTTTCTGCCAGGAATTTTAGTCATGATATTGTGGAAGTAACCAACAAAGAAAACATGTACCAGATATGTGACATTGTTGCACAGACAAAGCTGACTATATTGTTCTTGATATTTGGTTGTACTCTGGTGTGGAATTTGGAGGAGTTCTTAGATGATGGATAGAAAAATCCATAGAGTTCTATGAACAGAGATTAATGGAGGATCGCAGCTACTTACAGACCATGATATGAAAACATACATGAGGTTGAATTCATTTTGTGAACTGAATGACTTGAGAACAAAAATTTCAAGATTGTGCAGCATTTAGGCTGTGTTGTGGTTGGACACAAAAGGTGACAGATGTTTTTGCTTAACTAGAGTCACATGTTTTTTATAATCCAAGCCTCAAGTTCAATACTACTGTCCTTCCTTTAGGGAGGATATTTTTATTTCAGTTCAACTAAGCAAGATAATCATGCACAAAAATTTTCAGAGTCTACACTAAGCTAATTTTCCCTTATATGTGTAGCTATAGTGCAGTATCTCAAGTGCTTCTTGATACTAGTCAGGTTGGAAAACAAAATTCACCACCAGAGATCACTGTATTGTTAACTTGAAATCCAAACATACCATTTTTAAGTCCTAAGACCTGGCCTTATATTTTTCTTATCTTTTGTTTTTAAGATTTATTTATTTTATGTATATAAGCACACTATAGCTGTCTTCAGACAGATCAGAAGAGCACATCAGTTCCTATTACAGATGGTTGTGAGGCACCATATGGTTGCTGGGAATTGAACTCACGACCTCTTAACCACTGAGCCATCTCTCCAGCCCCAGCCTTATTCTTATCTGTACAGTCTCATGGGAATTTAATCTTGGAAAAAATAATGCATCCAATTAAGCAACACAATTTTTTCTTTTTTTTATTAGATTTTTTTATTTACATTTCAAATGTTATCCCCTTTCCTGGTTTCAGCCCCAGAATCTCCCTATCCCATCCCCCCTTCCTCTCCCTCTATAAGGCTGTTTTCCCACCCACCCACCAAGTCCTATCTCGCCCCTCTAGACTCCCCATACTATGGGGAATCAAGCCTCCACAGGACAAAGCACATCCCCTCCCACTCATGTCAGACAGTTCAGTCCTCTGCTACATATGTAGTAGGGTCTATGGGCCAGCCCATGTATGTTTTTTGGTTGGTAAGTTAGTCCCCGAGAGTTCTGAGTTATCAGGTTTAGTTGCTACTATTTTTCTTCCTATGGGATTGCAATCCTCTTCGGCTCCTTCCATCCTTCCCCTAATTCACCAAAGAGGTCCCTGGGGTCAGTCCAATGGTGACTGTGAATATCTGCATCCAATTCAGTCAGGCACTCAGAGGACAACCATGCAAGGCTCCTCTCTGCAAGGAAAACTTGGCATCATCAATAGTATGGGGGTTTGGTGTCTGCATATGACATGGATCCCAAGATGGAGTGGTCTCTGGATGGCCTTTCCTTCAGTCTCTGCTCCATTTTTTATCCCTGCATTACCTTTAAACAGGAACAATTCTGGGTCAAAATTTTTGATATGGATGTCTGGTTTCATCCTTTAGCTGTGGGTAATGGCTATCTATTGGAAAATTTCCAATGCCACTTAAAAGTACAAAGTCATATGACTGTTAGAAGGAACAGTTATAAAGTGTCCCCAATGTGACTGCCTAAAAGTGAACTGGACAAGAAAACAAATATGCTAAATGGGGCTTGGGAAAGTCCTCAAAGCCTGAATCCTACGCAAAGAATTACAAGAAAGAAAGGAATCCTGAGACAGGGAGAAATAATATCCCCACAAGAAAGGGATACCAAGTGGTTTCCAATAACAAATTGTCAGCACTGAAATCACACAAACTGATTAAGTTTTAGTTATGTATCTAGGAATATAAACATACATGCACATAACATGAGTGTATATAAAAGCAAAGCAAAAAGTCATGAATATTAAAGGGAGCCAAACAGATATATAGGAAGATTTGAGAGATAAAAAAAGAAAGGGTAGCAAGTGGAGTCCACTTGGAGCTGCCAACAGAGGTGAGTTATGTATGGTCCCTTGACCACTCTCACATTGGAACACCTACCATCCTAAGGAGTCTTGTGGGATTTCAGGAGCATCCTTCTTCCCTGAGCTAGACTTCAGGGGCCCCAAAACATCCAGATTAGACCATTTTCCCAGCAATCCCTGGTATACCCAGAAAAGGGAAGCAAAGTCCTATTCCCTCAGATCCATTGTCAGGTTCTGCCTGCATCCCTGAGGAGTCCTCCCGGCACCAAGGACATCCAGCCAACAAAAGTGGCAAACAGATGACTAAAGAACAGCTAAGTACATAAACAACAACAACCAGGTCAATATAGAATGACCGAAGTACAACTATCTTGCTAGAACAAGCTCTGGATATGCTAACACAGCCAAAGAACAAGAAGAAGACCTTAAATCCAATCTTATAATGACAAGGACCTTTAAAGAATAAATGAATGAATCCTTTAAGAAATACAGGAAAATACAATAAAACAAGTGAATGAAATGAATGAAACTGCCAACAATATGAAAATGGAAGCATAAGCAATAAGGAAAACAGAAACTGATGAAATACTAGAGATGGAGAACCTCAGGAAGAGAATAAGAACTGTAGATGTTAAACATCACCTACAGAATACAAGAGATAGAAGAAAGAATCTCAAGGATAAAAGATATGATTAAAAAATCAATATATGGATCAAAGAAAATGATGATTATAAAAATGTCATGACACAAACCCCAAGGGTCCCAAGAAAAAGTTGGAGTTAAAATTCTAATATACAATAAAATAGAATTTCAATCAAAAGTTATCAAGCAAGGTGGGGGAGGGCACTTCATATTCATCAAGGAAAAATATCCACCAAGAGAAATTCTCAGTTCTGAACATCTATGCCCCAAAATGCAAGGGCACCCACATTCATGAAGGAAACTTTACTAAAACTAAAAACACACATTGAAACTCACACAATAATTTTGGAAATTTTCAACACTCCAGTTGCACCAATGGACAGGTCATTGAAACAGAAACTCAACAATGGCACCATGAAACTACTAAAGGGTTTGAACCAAATGGATTTAACAGACATCTACAGAACATTTCACCCCAAAACTAGAGAATATACCTTCTTTTGAGCACCCCATGGAAACTTCACCAAACCTGATCAAATAAACAGAGATTTAAAAAAAAAGCCCTCAACAGAAACAAGAAAATTCAAATAATCCCATGCATTCTATGAGATCACCACAGACCAAGGCTAGACTTCAATAACAACAGAAACAACTGAAAGCCCATATAATCATGGAAAGTAAACAACTCTCTGCTCAATAACTTGTCAGGGAAGAAACAAGGAAAGAAATCAAAGATGATAGAATTCAATGAAGCTTATCGCCAAGATGGCACAGAAAGCGAAGAAGGAAGTTCCTGCCCCTCCCAAAGCCAAAGCCAAAGCAAAGGCCTTAAAAGCAAAGAAAGCAGTGCTGAAAGGCGTCCACAGCCACAAAATGAAGATCTGAACATCACTCACCTCCCGGAGGCCCAAGACACTGCGGCTCCAGAGGCAGCCAAATTATCCTTGAAAGAGTGCACCCAGGAGAAACAAGCTTGATCACTATGCTATCATCAAATTCCCACTGACCACTGAGTCAGTCATAAAGAAAATAGAGGACAACACACTTGTGTTCATTGCGGATGTCAAGGCCAACAAGCACCAGATCAAACAGGCCATGAAGAAGCTCTATGACATTGGTGTGCCCAAAGTCAATACCCTGATAAGGCCTGATGGAGAGAAGAAGGTATATGTTCACTTGGCTACTGATTATGATGCTCTAAATGTTGGCAACAAGATTGTGGTCATCTAAACTGAGTCCAGATGACTAATTGTAAATATACACTTTTTTCCACCATAAAAAAAGAGAGAATTCAATGAAAATGAAGACACATTATACCAAAACTCATGGGACACAAAAATAAAGCAATACTAAGAGGAAAAGTCATAACACTAACTACCTTCAAAAAGAAATTGGAAAGATACATGACAGATAGATAGATAGATATATAGATAGATAGATAGATAGATAGATAGATAGATAGATAGATAGACAGATGATAGATAGATGATAGATAGATAGATAGATAGATAGATAGATAGATAGATAGATAGATAGATCAAAACAAAAAATAATAAAATAAAAAAGAAAGAAATTGGAGAGATCCCAGACAAGTAACTTA